CTCTTCTCTTCTCTTCTCTTCTCTTCTCTTCTCTTCTCTTCTCTTCTCTTCCTTTTTTCTTTTTTCTTTTCTTTTCTTTTCTTTTCTTTTCTTTTCTTTCTTTCTTTCTTTCTTTCTTTCTTTTTTTTTGAGGGGTGGGTTTCTCTGTGTAGTCCTGACTGTCCTGGAACTCACTCTGTAGACTCCACTGACCTCGAACTCAGAGATTCTCCAGCCTCTGCCTCCCGAGTGCTGGAATTACAGGCATGCGCCACCACCCCTTGACTTGAACCTTTTTATGTTAGTGCTGTGGATCTCACTGAGGTCCTCAGGCTTCTGCAGCAAACACCACACCCACTGAGCCATCTCCCTGGGTTTTATTTCCTAACCCCTTCTGCTGTTGTTTAGGGCACCCCTGGACCTGAAACCCTCCCTCCTTTCCCACCCTTTACCCTACGATTAAGTTACTGAAGGACTGAGGCATCCACTCTAGCCTCTCAGACGCTGCCTAGACTGTACCACAGAAGTTTAAGATTTGCAGAGTCTTTGAAGGAAGGGACTGGGTTCATGCCATCTCTCCAGTCCTAGCCCCTGGCACAGGATCTCTTATACGACAAGGGCTGAAATGCACCACCAAGGGCCAAAGCCCAGCTCCACCACCTCCCACCCACAGGACCCCAGATAAATCACCAAGCACCAATGTGCTCTTGGTTCTTCCTTCTCTTCTTTCGTTCTTTCCCTTTTATGTAGGCTTTCATGTACCCAGATTGGCCTTAAACTCTCTATGTAGCCCAGGCTTCCTTTGACCTCACAGTCTCCTCCTCTCAGCCTCCTGAACGCTGGGATGGCAGGTATGCAACACCATACTTGGTTTGTGTGGTGCCGGGGCTGGAATTCTGGACTTAGGGTGTGCTGGGCATGGCACTCTACCAACCGAACTGCATTTCCAACCCCTGTCTTTTCTTATTAGTAAAATGGGGAGCAGTCACCCCACCACCTCTGATTGTTGTTGGATGAAGTGAGTCTAAGCCCGTGAAGGTCTGAGAAGGAAAGGGAGGGACCCTAGGAAGCTCTGTGTCCTGGGCAAGTGGCAGAAATGAGCAGCAGCCAGGAGTCGTGGGTTCAAGGGCATCCTGGGCTGCAAACCAAACCCATCTCCCAAACAGGGACAAAAAGGGTCTTTAGAAGATGGTTTCTGTTGATCTTAAGGAGCCTCCCTCACAGGAGGACGCCTCCCATCTCCCCACATTTCACTGAGCAAGGAGAATAACTCCTGAGAAATCATCTAACCCACCCCCTCATTTCTCAGCATCCAAGTAGCCCTAGACATTTTTCTTCTAAGGAAGGCTTGGAGCATAGCTCAGCAACGGGGCACTGGCCTAGAACCCCCAGTGAGGTGCTGGGAGTGTGCCCCAGAGGTAGCACTTGCCCAGCACGCACCAGACTGGATGTCCCATCCCCTTCAACCAGCCTTCCAGGAGCAGGCTGGTTCTAGAAGTTTCTGCCCTTCTCCACCCCATCTCTCTGATGGAGTCTGTTATGATTACTATAGTTCTCCCTGCTTCCCATCCCATTTCTACCCTGTTCTCCTCTTGCCTTGCACGTCATGACTGTGAACACAGTTGTACCCTTCTGGGTCCGCCCGAGGTTGTCGCAGCGTGAGCTAGAGCCGGGAGAGGACCTGGGTGACAATGTCTTGCCCAAACTTTCCTGCTTCCACTATTTTATGAATGGGTGTGGCCAACCCAGAAAAATTTGAGGTTTTGTTTTAGAGGTTTTTTTAATTTTGTTTTTTGCTTGTTTTCAGAAGTATCTTGGTATATACAGCTCTGGAAGATAACCTTCCTCTATCTGCCTTCTGAGTGCTGGGACTACTGGTGTGCACCACACTACCTGACTGAAATGTGAATTTTAGATAAATATTATGAATAATATTTGATAATAAATAGGAAATAGGGCCAATATTATTGCTTAGATAGTAGATGCGCTTTCTGCCAAGCCTGAGGACCGGAATTTGATACAGGGTAGAAAAAGAGCCAACTCTCACAAGTTGCCCTCTGACTTCCACGTGTGTGCCTTGGCAGGCATGTGCTCAAACACATAAACAAACATGCACACGCACAATAAGTAAGTAAAATGCAATACATTTTTCTTTTATTTTTTTGTCATAGATTTATGTATTATGTTTCATATCAAAGTATTTTGCCTGCATGTTTCATGCATGTACCACGTGTCAGAAAAGGGCATCAGAGTCCCGGGAATTGGAGTTATGGATAAAGGTGAACCCTTGTGGATGTTGAGAATCAAACACCGTCCTCTGCGAGAGCAACCAGTTCGCCGAACCCCTACCCATCTCTCCAGCCCCATGAAATAACTTTTCAAAACAGACATACTGACACCAAATCCTCGTCACCAGGTGTGGTGATTCACACCTGCGACACCAGTACTTGGGAAATGGAGGCAGCAGAACCAGGAGTTCAAGGTCAGTCCTCAGCTACGTGGGCCAGCCTGGGCTCAGAACCTGTTTCAAAAAAGGAGGATTTAGGGCTGGGGAGATGGCTTGGTGGTTAAGAGCACTTGCTGTTCTCACAGAGGGCCCACCATCAGTTCCCAGCACCCCTAGGGGAGGATGTTCCAGGAGACGTCTAGCTGGGAAGAGAAGGGAGCTTGGAGAACAGGGGGCCTCCTCAGCAGAGGACCGAGGATGGAGCTGACTCCCTGGGGCACAGATAGGGATCAACGAGCATCTGGGAGCTGCAGACAAGTGGAGCCCACAACCCTGAGTGGGGTTCAAATAGGGCCTTGGGCTGGGGCGTGTAGCTGAGACTCTTCCCACGCTCTCCTTGGCCCGGTACCTGGGGCTGCTCCCTTCTCGAACCCAGCCTACAGTTTGGGAACCAAACATCAAGCCCCCGAGGAGAGGGCGGTTAAAGGTGAGCGGGTCACGAGCGGGGCGGCAGAAGGTGATTGGCGGGCGCCTGAACCCACGGCGCGCGCCACCGCTGCTCCACAGGCCACCAGCCGGAGGAGCGGCTGCCATCCACGTGCTAAGGAGAGAAGGAGGCACCGGACCAAGGGGCAAAGGACACCTCGGAGAGGGAGGGCGGGGGAGCCTGTAGCGCCTAGCCGTCCACACCCCAGTCTAAAAGCCCGGCCTCGTGCGGGCGCAGCGCACGGAGCCCTCTGCCGCCGGCGCTGAGAAGGCGCGGGGTGAGGCAGCGCCGGCCTGAGCATCTGCAGCCCCGCGGAGACCCGAGGCCCAGGAGCCGAGCCCAGCCCGACTCCCTCTGAGGATCGCGTGGAGCTCAGGTGAGCAGGGAAGGTCTTCAGGTATCAGAGGGACATGGATACCTTGCACAGGTGGACTCAGATCCCCGCCAGACTTCAGTTGCCACAGTGTGCAATGGTGAGGAAGCATTCCTAAATCACAACTGGAGTAGGGGGCTCCCACTTTCTCTGCCCCTCCCCCAACCTGCTCATGAGTGGAGCCAGTGGGGAAAGGGGCAGGTTCAGATGCCAGGGAGGACTGGGCATCAGGAATCCTAATCTATCTTTCTTGACCTTTTAGGATTACCCACTCAGGCTCCCAGGGTCACCTCCTGAATCCCCCATACTAGGCTGGGAATAAATGGTGACCTGGTGCAGGGGGAGCTGACCGGATCCAGGGAGGCAGGAGGGAGGGGACAGATGCCAGGGTGGGGCCTGTGGATTTCTAGTCACCCAGCTTGGTTGCAGGCAGGGGCTAGCTAGGGACCTGGTTGAATCCTGGAAGGGCCGGGCCTTCTTGTTGGCTCCCAGCCATTCTGTCACCAAGTCCGTGATTCTTGAGGCCACGGTGGTGGGAGAGGGGACCGTGTGGCCAGGTGTGGGCTGTGTTTCCGTCTTTAGATTCCTGCCTTTGTCAGGCTTTGTGACCTTGGCCCTTTTCGGGGCCTGGTTCTTCCCCTGTGACACTGGAAGTTCCCTCCAGGGCCACCTGCATGGAGACAGAGCCAGGATACAAGGGCACACCAAGACACCTTGGGAGGGAAAGAAAGGCAGGCCATCCAGTCAAGGTCTCAGGTCAGC